AAGAGGTGAATGTCTTCGGTGGTCTGAAGCAGAGAGTCGAATGGAGATGCGAGAGTTTTCAAGGCCTTCACCCCTTCATGATAGTGCGAGTCAAAGGGGGGGTTGCTTTCAGGCCGTTCAGGGCATTCACCCCTTCGAGATTGTTCGTAGTCTTCATGATGGTTTTTTTTTTTTTTTTTTTTTTTTTTCCGTGAACCATCCTGAAGAGGTGAACGCCCTGAAGGCCTGAAAGCACCCCCACCCCACCCTATGGCTCCCACTGTTAAGCGCCGAGGATCCTGAACGATCTTGAAGGGGTGAATGCCTTTGGAGGTCTGAAAGGAGCACCCGTTCCCTCCTTTGTTTTCCATTGTTGTGTCGTTTTGGCATCCTGAACAATGTGAACGATCCTGGAGGGACGAATGCCCTCAAGGCCTGAAAGAGCCCCCCCACCCTATGACCCCCACTCTTAACCTTGAGGATTCTTAACTATCCTGAAGGGATGAATGCCCTCAAGGCCTGAAAAGCAGGGAGTCGAATGAAGGTGCGAGGGCTTTCAAGGCCTTCACCTCTTCATGATAGTGAGAGCCAAAGGAGGGGTTGCTTTTAGGCCGTTCAGGGCATTCACCCCTTCAGGATTGTTCATAGTCTTCAAAATGTTTTTTTTTAATTTTTTATTTTTAATTTTGTGAACCATCCTGAAGGGGTGAATACCCTGAAGGCCTGAAAGCACCCCCCCACCCCCACCCTATGGCTCCCACTGTTAAACGCCGAGGATCCCGAACGATCCCGAAGGGGTGAATGCCTTAGGAGGTTTGAAAGGAGCACCCGTTTCCACCTTTGTTCTAAATTGTTGTGTCGTTTTGACATCCTGAACAATGTGAACGATGCTAAAGGGGCGAATGCCCTGAAAGAACCCCCCCCCACCTTATGGCCCCCACTGTTAACCTTGAGGATCCTGAATGATCCTCAAGGGGTGAATGCGCTGAAGGCCTGAAAGAACCCCCCCTCATCTTATGGGTCTCACTGTTAAGCTTGAGGATTGTGAACAATCCTGAAGGGGTGAATGCCCTGAAGGCCTGAAAGCACCCCCCCCCCACCGTATCACTCCCACTGTTAAGCTTGAGGATCCCGAAC